AGTTGGCGTCGTGCTTTTGGGTAGCCTAGGTCAGAACACACGTGACTGTGGGGATGAGTGCAAATGTTGGGACTCCAGAACTTGGCATTTCGGGAGCGTCCATTGCGACTTTGAATGGTTGCTGTGTGACCGGAAATAAGTTGAGGACTCCCTATGATAAAGTCCTGCTTTAGGACACAGAAAAAGAGTAGAACACTTACCTAATACTCGGACAGTGTGACTCTTCTGGATGGCGCAGTTATAAAGACTCAGCGTTCCGTGCTTGCAGGAACTATACATGAAGTTGCCATCCTGAGAGAAGGTCAGGCCTGTAATCAGACCCCGGTGCTGCCTGTCCAATAGTTGCCCCCCAAACAAAAAGGCAAAATGAGGAATGAACTTGAAGAATGAAACCAGGCGGATGACAAAAAACAATTGCCCTTTAAATCCTACAAGCGCAAAGCATTTGGGTTTGTCTCCCATCATTCTAAGCCCATAACAATCCTCGTACAGGCAGCCCTCAACCTACGGGCACAATGGAGCCCAAAATCTATGCTGATAAGTGAGAAATGTGTTAAGTGAGTTTTGCCCGATTTTACGACTTTTTTGGCCACAATTGTTAAGTGAATCATAAAGGTAAAGATTCATCTTGCACCTATGTGCTAGTCGTTCCCGACTCTAGGGGGCAGTGCTCATCTCCATTTCAAAGCCGAAGAGCCAGCGCTGTCCGAAGACATCTCCGTGGTCATGTGGCCGGCATGACTCAACGCCGGTCGCACAGAACGCTGTTACCTTCCCACCAAAGGTGGTCCCTATTTTGCTACTTGCATTTTTACGTGCTTTCGAACTGCTAGGTTGGCAGAAACTGGGACAAGCAACGGGAGCTCACTACGTTATGCAGTGCCAGGGATTCGAACCGCTGAACTGCCGACCTTTCTGATCGACAAGCTTAGCCGCGGAGCCACCTCAAGTGAATTATCGCGGGTTTTAAATGAGTTAACAGCATTGTTAAGTGAATTTGGCTTCCCCTTTGACTTTATTGGTCAGTAAGTCACCTGGCCATGGGGATGCTACAATGGTTGTAAGAGTGAGAAATGGCCATAATACACTGTTTTCACTGCTATTGTAACTTTGAATGGTCACTAAATGAATTATTATAAGTCGAGGACTACCAGTAGTTATTGGCCAGAGGGCAACTTGTTCAAACTCACATATGGAGCTATTTAATCAATAGGATTTGAATCAGGATTTCCTCCTGATCCAAGTCACTACAGCAGCGATGGTGAACCTTTTTTGGCTCACGTGCCATTTGTGGGGGGGAGCACAGGGGTGGTGGTGCGGGCATGCCACACCCATAATGCAATGCGCAACATCCCCCCAGTGCACATGCGCGCACTACAGGCGCGCCCCCCCATTTTTTTGCTTGCTTTTTCGCCCTCCCCAGGCTCCAGAGGCTTTATAGGAGCTGGGGAAGACGAAAACAGCCTCCCCCGCCCCACCCCACCCCCTGTGGCCCTCCGGAGGCTTCAGGGACCTTCAGGAGGCTTCCCTGAAGCCTCCGGAGCCGTCAAAACGACCCTCTCGCAGGGTTGTTTGGAGCGCTCCGAAGGCTTCAGAGACCTATAGTAACTATAGTATATTTTAGAGTTTACTTCTGCAATATAGTATATTTTTTAGTGGGATAAGGTGGCTCAGTGGTTAAGATGCTGAGCTTGTCGATCAGAAAGTTCGAATCCCTAGTGCCGTGTAACAGAGTGAGCTTCCTTCTGTTACTTGTCCCAGCTTCTGCCAACCTAGCAGTTTGAAAGCATGAAAAAATGCAACCTTTGGTGCGAAGGTAACAGCATTCCACGGGCCTTCAGCGTTTAGTCCTGCCGGCCACATGACCATAGAGACATCTTCGGACAGCTTTGAAATGGAGATGAGCACCGCCCTCTAGAGTCAGGAACGACCAGCACATATGTGTGGGGGAACCTTTACTTTTACCTATATTTTTTAGAGTTGTGTGATGCTAGTTGAGTTATTTGTTGTAAAAAGGAGAACACCAACCATTGGAAAGGCAATAAAAATGTGTCTCTTTCTCCAGGCTCTTGGGTCAGGATGAGTAAAATTCTCCCCGTTGGTGACATATAGTATAGTTTAATTTTAATCACTGTATAATTATTTTAGTTTGGTTTAGTGGCATGTGCTATTTTTCTTTTCTATTTTTGTATGACTTGGGATGCTGCCCAGAGTCTTTGAGCCGAGTGCCATGTTGAATATTTTATATAAATAGATACATCAGAAACAGAAAAGTTGCGATACCGGTGGTCTTTGCTTAGTAACTGTTTCAAGTCACGACAGTGATAAATAAGTCATGTTGAAACCCCTTCCCACATTAACAACCTTCACAGGTCTGTAAACAAGCGAAAGCTGAAACGAGACTGTAAGCACGGTTGCAGTTGCCCTTAGCAACCGCTCCGCTTAATGACCAAATTGTCAGTCCCTAGTTGTGGTTGCTAACGCTGACCTGTACTTAACATTTGACGTATTGCCCCAAATACTGCTAAGAAGTGAGTGGATCATTCTGAATCAGTATATTTGTTCTGTTGTTTGTCTGTACTGTATTACAGGCTAATCTCGGTATTGATTTCATTTTTTTTTATTCTCCGAAGAAATATTTCCTTTCAAATCACTGTCCCCTTCCTCTTCCATGTGTGCAAAACATTCAAAACGTAACTATCAAATCCCATAAAGGCTTTACTTGTGTTCTTCAAGTAGTCTCGAGGCAGCCAAGCTGATCGTTCGGACCACGCCGGTGTCGAATCCACAAGCAAAAATAGGTTGCAAGGGATGAAAAGCCACAGCGCACGGGATTTCGTCGGAGGCCGTGAATTCATAAAGCTGTAAGGGGACAGAGTGGTACCCAGGTGAGACAGGAGGCAGGAGGGGGGAAACGACCACTGACTTACCTGAATGGTCCTTCTATGTGTGCTGCGAGGGGAATCCAAGCATGGGTTAACTTTGTCCATTAACCTTGAGACTGAGTTATGCAAATTGCTGGCCACGCCTCCTCTGACTGGACTGGTTCAGTTTTGCACAAAGGATCAGCCAGCTTGAGAGAAGCAAAATAAGTCTAGAAGTCAAGGAATGTCATAGGAAAAAAGGAAGTCCAGGCCCAGAACAGCTGAAGCCGAGGCTGGGTTTGGATTCCCCTCGCAGCGCACATAGAAGGACCGAATGGTTGTTCTCCTGTGCGCTGCTTGGGAAATCCAAGCATGGGTTAACTTTGTCCATTAACCTTGAGACTGAGTTATGCAAATTGCTGGCCACGCCTCCTCTGACTGGACTGGTTCAGTTTTGCACAAAGGATCAGCCAGCTTGAGAGAAGCAAAATAAGTCTAGAAGTCAAGGAATGTCATAGGAAAAAAGGAAGTCCAGGCCCAGAACAGCTGAAGCCGAGGCTGGGTTTGGATTCCCCTCGCAGCGTACATAGAAGGACTGTTCAGGTAAGTCAATTGCCGTTCTCCTGTGCGCTGCTTGGGAAATCCAAGCATGGGACATGCCAAAGCAATAGACTTCAGGGGCGGGAGCGAGGCTGGTCTGGTGCCGTAGCCGAAGAAGCTACCCTTTGCAGCACGCACCGTCCAAAGGATGCCTCAGTCGAGGCATAAACGTCCACCTTGTAGTGACGGATAAAGGGTGACGTCGATGACCAGATCGCTGCCCTGCAGATGTCCTCCACCGAGACTTGTGTTGCCCAGGCTGCTGTCATGGCCGCACTCCTGGTAGAATGGGGAGTGACCTGACTGGGAACATGTCGGGACTGACAGTCGTAGGCTAGGGCAATACACACCTTCAACCACGGCCGATGGTATGCGATGATGCCTTTTG